AGTCCACAACTACAAACTAATAAAAGAGAAGTTTAGAACTACACTCCGCCAATTTTTCCTGCCTAACCGAGTGTTTGATATGTGGAACAGCTTGGTCTCTTTGCTGCTTATCCGATGATGTGGTAATGACGCTGATCTATCAGTGTTTACCTGCCGTATGCACAGAAATCATTGCAGAATACATATCGTTATGACTAAAGTGGGAGAAGCGGATTAAGAGATGTGCGTATATACGTTCTATTTTTTATTCCAGCTCTTTCGGTAATAAATCTGGAAATATATTTGGATTATTTTCGGTAAATAAGGTCTCATTTCGGTAGGCATACCGAAAAATCGGTAGATTGGGCAACACTGGTTGCTGTACTGCTGCGGATTGTGGCTATCAATCTCCATCCTCGCAGGATTAGTCAGAGCAGTGATCATGTACGCTCGCAGGCATTTTTCTTAGGGGTTTTATTCATCGATAGGAGATAACTGAGTGAAAGCGTACCTACCTCCAAAATTTTTTGAAGAGCGTGAGGTGGAATAAAGAGGGGGTTGCAAGTCCTAAAAAAACAAAATTTAATTGTATGAGACTGTTTGACTAACTTGATCCATTTAATTTTTTGTTAAACATGTTTCTAGCTAATTTCTTTTGTCAGAGGGGTCAACTTGAGAAAAATATAGTGGGACCTGAGTCATTTATTTTCTCTGTATTTCCCGCTGGAGGAATCAGGTAATAAAAATTCCAGATACACACAAAGTACCAGGCACAATATGGAATTTGACCACTGATAAAATTTATGAAAATTCTTACAGTGATAGTTCATGTTGTGCTGATCAAATGATCTATTCCGGCAAAGCCCAGAAATGCTTTCTGTTTGTGATACAGGATCTAACTAAGAGATTGGCATTTGGTTAAAGTTTTCCATTTCACCATTACTCCAGAGGTATATAAAAAACGAATTTTCACAAAATCGTTTTTATATTTTCTTGACCTTATTTGAGGTGGGATTTCATAATACCCTACACATTAACATTTTAATTTTTTCCTCTTCATGGCGGCATAATTACAATTCCAACATGACGTTTAATCTCTTGTCCTCAATTATCAACTTTATTTTTTCTTATGGACGTCATTCTAGATTATTGCACAGGTGAACAGAGTTTTTAATTCTGTTTCCAAAAATGTAAAAGATGTCATACATTGTATATAAGTATAAAAAAATTCCAAGTTGGCCTTGAAGTTGTCATCAGCCAAGCATTCGTTCAGTTTCTATGAGCTAGGCAACAAACCCTATTTCCGGTTTGATAATTACAATCAAATGTTGACATGCATGACATGGATTTTTTGAGAATAAAGCTTTTTCTATCTCCCTCCGGATATATGTATGTATAGTGAATTGCGAAGTTTTCTGTAATTTTTTTAGTTACCTGAATGCTCACCTTTGTCCTCATATAGCCGACGCGACGTCGTATTTTTGACCGTTTGAGATCCCAATCGTATTGTAACAAGAATAATTAGCGCCATCTGTGAATAACCGCGATAGGGACTCTCCTTCGACACTACTAGCGCCATCTGTTGAGAACCGCGACAGGGACTCTCCTTCGCCACTACTAGCGCCATCTGATGAAAACCGCGCCAGGGACTCTCCTGCGAGTTCGAAGACTGGCCTCGAAGGTTCTGTACTGGCCGCTATGTGGCGTACCGGAACTTCCTCGAATTAACGAGTACCTGCGATGCGGACTATATAAAGTCGACGGCCGGGAGACGGAAGTAGAGTTGAGTGAATGGCGCGACATAATAATTCGTATTTCGTAAAAAGTAGTCAGACCAGACATAAATAGTGGTGTACATAAATGGTCTATCTAGTTAAGTTAAAGTTAGTTGTGTTGTATTTTAAATAAATTAGTGCAATTCTTTTTGTGTAATCGAGTGTTTTAATCCACACCCAAGAGAACACAGAAAACCGCTACAGTAAATTGTTAAACGCCCTGGGTACACGCTAAAAAGAGTTTTCGTAAAATGATGCAGGCATGTGTAACCACAGGGCTAAGCCACCGAACTTTGACACCCTGTATCTTAAATAGAGGGCATTTCTAGGTTTTCATGATGACTGCAATATCAGGTAAAAAAAACCACATATGGTAAAAGTAGGGTCACTTCATGAGCACAGAGGGTGAATAAGCACAATGGGTGGTATTAATAAAACGTGAGTACATGCTCTTAGTACGTGCTTAAGAAGAAATTGAGTAGATGCTAAAACAGTGAGCATGTGCTTACATTTGGTATTAATAAAATTTTGATGTAAAAATGGAGCACCTGCTTCGGCCTTGTGAGTACGTGGTCCAAATAATACCGCTGGCGCTGTGGATATTTGCGAGTTTCGACAGGTTTTTTATCGCATCGCGATATTTAGTGCGATTGTCCTAGGTCCTATAGGTGAATATATTTTACAACAATGGATACAGAAGAGGATACCAACGCCAACGGGAAAACTTGCGAAAATGTTAAGCTTTTTTAGTATTATTGAAAAATTTCCCGTACTTTTGGAAAAGTCTAATATACCCGAGATTAAAAGAAAAAAAGGCAAATGCAATCGAGGAGATAAAAGGTAGACTAGCAGATCAATTGGAAATAGAAATGAGTGAAGCACAGATATGGAAAAAGTTAAACAATCTGAAGGCTAGAATAAAAATCAAACACGAAATAAGAAGATCCAACTAAGAGGATGGGAAGCTAAATTCTTTACATATATGAGAGGAGAGTAAAAGGTGAATCTAGTGTGTGCAAAATTCATAGTATTTAATTAGCAATTTTTACAACTACGAGTATAGGAGAGTTGCGCCAGAGCAAAAATGTTTATTGTAACGAATTTTCTAACACCAATTTTAAAAAAGCTGATTGAGATAAGAAAATCTATAAAGGCCTTGTGGATATTTCTGCGGGTGTGCGAAAGTTATTTTTATTTAAAACGAATAATTTTAAGTCATTCAAAACAAATTGGAAAAATAGGATAACAATTCGATTATACGTCTTTACATTAAAATTAGTTAAGAGTTGACTAAATATGACTAACTTTCGTACACTTTCGGATGTTTGAAGATTCCAAAATCTTGTTTTATCAAAATCTATTGATGAATAGGGTCAGTATTTGAGTCAAAAGTTGGTCATGTTTTCCATTTATTTTCAAGCGTAAATTTTTTGGCGTATTCCCTCTTAAATGCAAAAAATATACCTATGTTTCATCATAATATAATACGTAATACGAGAATTGTTAAAGTATCTCCTAATACTGCAAAGGTACTATGTTTCAGATATATTTAGGTTTTATTCAGGTAAAAATATACTAAGTGACATATAAATCCGAACACCCAGTTTAAATGGTTTTATTTTAATAAAATTTTGTATAAGTACTTAATGAAGCATAATAAGTAAATGATAAAAATTTCAAAATGATTGCACTGCTTTAAAGCTCTTTGACCTTTAATAATGTGTGGATGCACCCTGATGTGCTACGCATTCTCCAACGCGCCTAGGCATGCTTCTGATCAGGTGGTCAATGTCCTCCTGTGGTATCTCATTCCAGGCAACCACCAACTCCTCTCGAAGTGCTTCTAGAGTCTGAGGAGGACGTTGCAAATTGAGCAATCTCCTACCCATCATATCCCAAACGTGCTCAATTGGGGACAAGTCGGGAGATCTTGGTGGCCATGGTAACAATGTGACATCATTATGTTGAAAGAAGTCTATTGCGACTCTTGCAACATGTGGTCGGGCATTATCTTGTTGGAAAGTTGGATCTGAAAGGGTGTCAAGATAGGGTAAAAGATGGGGTTCTAGAACTTCGTGGATATAACGCTGCGCGTTCATGTTACCTCTGATGAAGATTAAAGGTGACCTGGAACCATAAGCTATAGCACCCCAAACCATAACTCCAACAGTGTGATGAACAGGTCTTTCAACAAAAAACTGTGGATTCCTCCTTTCACCACGTCGCCTTCTAACCCTGGCACGACCATCGTGCATGCCTAAACAAAATCGAGACTCGTCACTAAAGACAATACTGTTCCATTCCTGATCCCAGAGTGACCGTTGTCTGCACCACTCAAGGCGATTACGTCGGTGTTCTCGAGTTAAAGGGAGGACCCAGTGTGGCCGGTATGAAAACAAGCCAAAACTTTCATTCGTCGGTAAACATTTCGCATGCCAATAGGTCTTCCGTGTTCTGCAAACCATTCATTTGCAATGGACCTGGTAGTGGAGAAACGGTCCCTTAAGGCCAATAATCTTAGGCGGCGATCTTCACGGTCTGTTGTTCTACGGCGGCGTCCAGTGCCCCTTGCTCTTTGCGTACGGCCTTCTCGAAGCCATGCCTGACAACACCTAACCACAGTGTCTACACTTCTTTGCACTCTAACTGCAATTGCCCGAAAAGAAAGTCCAGCTTCCCGAAGTCCCACTATACGGCCCCTATCAAACTCACTAAGTTGACGAAATCGTACAGGTCTCCGTACTCTAGGCATCGTAACCGATCGTAAAGGATGTCAAGAACCAAAATCCGCCAACGCTGATTCTTTACTGCGACTGAAATATTCATTTTTAGAGCGTTAGTGAATTAAAAAAAGCAGTATAAAAACCGGAATGTTCAACTGATAAGGCTGAAAATTTTTTCACTTGTTATTTACAGTAAGATAAATACATTCACCAACTTTTATTAAAATGAAACCATTTAAACTGGGTGTTCGGATTTATATGTCACTTAGTATACATATTCTTTTTAGGAGCATTTTTTTCTGGTCTAGGACGGAGACCGAAGAAGTCAGTCTTGACTGTGAACAATAAGAAAGTCAGCTAGAAGAAAATGGGTCCTTTATAACATCCGCTACGGGGTCTTTTGAGAATGCAAGTTCCAGCTCTGCACTGCCTGGAACATCAGCGGCGTCTTCTACAGTGCGCAGGCCTGTAAAAGAAGCATCATTGAAAAACCAAAAACAAAAGGAAAAATTACCAGAAACAAATGAAACTAGACACCTTAGTACACAAGAACTTCAACGATTGGTGCTTTTGGAACAACTGCAAGTCTTTAGGCTTGCAAAGGAAATACTACTCCAGAAAAAACAAGATCAGGATAGCCGGCAGGATAATTGCGATAGTCAAGAAGTATCAGAAGCACAGCGAACGACTACATGCAATCTAGAAATCCCTAATTTTTTTAATTTAGATGAAATAAAGAATTATTAATAACTTGATCATTATGTTGTTGAAGGTTAACCAAAAATACAATAATAATATAAAAAAACAGTGTTGTTTTTTTTAAACCGGGCATAGGCTACCTTCTTTTATTCAAAAAGGTAGATACATACATAGTTTCCAAATTCAAATTTTACAGAATGATGCAACCAAGAACAATTCGTGAAAATATTTTTTCCAGCCTTGCTAGTTTGTGCAGTAGCCATCAAAGTAATATTTTTTTAAATTGCAACACCGCACTTCTTTTTAATATTTTAGTGGATATTGTAATTCTGAACAAAAAATTATAGTAACATTTTTTAATTGGTGCGTCCGTTTTCGCTCAATTGCTTAAAAAAGAACTAAAATAATAATCCAACTGAAAATACACATTTATCCCGACAATTGTTTTAATTGTTGAAATTGGGCCAATAAATGCCAATCATAATACCCTACATAAGTCTTTGCCGGAACCGTTTAATTTCCTCAAAATGGAAAAGAAATTTATTTTCAGATTATTTTAATCCGTGATCCAGCAATTGAATGAAAACGAACGCGCCAATTAAAAAATGTTTATAATTTTTTATTCAAAATTGCAATGTCCGCTAAAACACACAAATTGGCAAAGACGGAAAAAAATGCTTTTCCGAATTTTTCTTAGTTGCATCATTTTGTAAAAATTTGCTTTTGAAACTAAAATAAAAAAATACTATTATAATTTCTTAGCGAGGATTTCTGTATGTGATAAAATATTAACATAAATCAAACTAAATCAAAAACATTATTTATATTTCTACAAGACTACTTTTTTACAAAACGTAAATACTGGATTTTCAGAAGTTCTTGTTAATGAGAGTTTCCTGTATATACATATATAATATACAAATACCACTTAACTACTAATGACGAAAACCGTGAATTATTCTTGCTATTTCGTCTATTCTTAATTGTCCTCTCTGGCGCATAACTGCCTCACCATATTCTACAGGCATCTGTACAGCTTCATCACCATTATTGTTGACATCTTGCAAGATTTCAAAATTTTCCTCGTTGAGGTGCTTTGCAACATTATGCAAAATAAAGCAGCTTAAAATAAGAGATGAGACTTTTTCTGTTTGGTTTGCAGTATAGGGTAACGCTGTGTGAAAGACCTAGTGTACGAAATCTGCTCTGGAGTAAGAGGATCTGTGTATGGCGTCATAAGCCATGGAGTGAGTCCATAACCCGAATCTCCAAGGAGAAGTGCACTAGCTCTATTCCACTGCATAATGTTAACAATGTCGGAATTTCTCCATATACGCGAGTCATGAACGGCCACCGGCCAAGATACATCCACACTTGTAAACTCTTCTCGAGCGTTGCAATTAGCCTGGACGTTAAGACTACAAAATCCATTTCTATTGACATATTCATCTCCATGTACTGATGGTTTAATAATAGGGATGTGAGTGCAATCAATTGCGCCGATAGCGGAAGGGAAATTGTATTTTTCTTGCCATTTATATTTCTCTTGCTGCAATGCTTCCACGGTTGATGGAAACTTTATCCATACATTTGATTTTCATACTATACTATTATTGCTGCCACTGTTACAGATACCGTTGTTTGGTGTACACCAATGTCCTCACCAACGCCACTTTGAAATCCCGGGTCGCCAACGTAACGAAGAAAAATTCTCATTTTCTCAGTAGATGTTAGAGCACCACCTCTGTTTTCAAACTCATCTCCTAAGAAATGTTGAGCCAACCATTCCACGTTGTTCTTATTAAATCTATATACTCGTAAAACCCGATAGTCTACATTCCGAGATACTCTCCAAACTTTATAATGCTTTCTGGCACGATGAATAGGCATAAATTCAGTCATCGCGTCTGATAGTACGTTTGTTACTGATGCTGAACATCCTATCCAGATAACTTAAAATTATTTGAGTAGCTGCTTCATCTCGTTAGCACATGCTTCTTGTTATTCATACCGAAACTGAAGCAGATACTCACTTTTAAGAACATACTTACAAAAATAGTAGGTGATTCTTACTTGAGCACCTTCTTCATCATTTTATTCATACCAAGTGAAGTACGTACTCCAAAATTTGAAATAAAAAGCAGATGCTTAACGTTATTAATACCACCCAATGAGTCATGCTATGGATCTGTTACATTACAGTTTCCTTACGAATTCTGACGTTTTTGCGACTTCCCATTCATAATAAATAAAACCAATCAGAATTTCGGGTTGCAAAAAATTAGTATGCCGTATTTTTTTGCAAATACACATCAACTGATGAAATATTTCCGATTCATTTCATAATTTGTGTGTAACATCACAGATCAAACTGATAGGCTTCCTACACGGAATCTACTCAAACATTTAAAATAAAGGAACTCAACTAGTAGTGAAGAAAAATAGAAATAGCATAGTTTAGGATTTAACAATTTATTCAGAGTATATTTAACAGCACATATCTTAGAAAATGTAGCTTTCCTCAAAATATAAATAATGAGCATGAGTTGCAATACTTTACACCCATTCTACTGTCAACAGGTAATCTTCAAGTAGCTGAATGTATAAATGTAAAAATAAATAATAGCGGAGGCACTGGAGCTGCATAGATTCCGGCAATCCCGTTTTCATAATTATTTATTGTATCGTTGATAAAATCTACGAACATGTCTATTTTTGTAAAACCGCAGAAACAATAACGATCGGCCATTCTCCTGCAGAGTAGAGCGTATGGTACCAACCCATACAATGTGTGGTTCCTATCTACCTACAAGAAAAAGATCTGGTCAGATAGATTGCTGTTTTGAATGTGTACACCCGCTGAGGGAAAGCAACGCGATGAAAACTGCAGCGAACGAAAATTTTTTGGTGGCTGCTCTTTTTGCAGTACGCGTTTTCTCTTTTGTGAAACGTGCAAAGTGTATACCAATTGATAAATGGTGTAAACAATCGATTTCAGCCATCAATAGGACAATATCACCAAGTTGGAAAATACCCCATTACTGTAGCAAAACCAGATTATGAACCAATAGGCGCAAATCCAGGAGGACAGGCAACGGCGCCATTGCCCACCAAGGACTCAGGAAAAAGAGAGGAAATGGGAGGGAAGAAGAGACTACATAGTTTTTTTGTTTGAAAACTTAAAATAAATATGCAATCTGTACTGATGTATATTATTTCCCTTCTTAGCGACTGCAATCTCGAGGACCATCTCCTGAGGTAACGGGGGGATAAAAAGGAAACGTCGGTGGGCTGGTCTTAGACGGTCGTCGGTGCTACTTTAAATTTACATAGTAACAATCGGATTTCGATTGGCGGACTCGTATGTAAATCGTTCCCTATTTTGGTACTTATCAAGTGATGATTTAGTATTGTTAATGTTTCTCGATATTGTGTTGTTGTATTGTTGGTGTGATTGTCCTGGTGTGCATGTTCATCAAGGTTGCTCGCCGGAAAAAAATACTTTTCTTGGAGTCGGAATGTAAGTTCCGAAATAAAATAATTTGGATTATTTTTAGCTTTTATTTGAGCAAAAGAAATATTATAATTCATATGTACTACTATAATTTCATTTTATATGACTATGTAGTATTATTTTAGCCTCAAAATAAAACCAAGGTTACTGCCACGCATTTTCAAACACATGCAGACGTCATGGATATTCAACTTCAGGTTGGTATGCACGGGTTCGAATATATCTTTTAGTTATTTATGAAACATTATTTTAGGAAGAAGAAGTGGCCCTTTCACAAACAAATGCAGCAACATCGTCATTATTTACAGAAATGCCAACAGCATCTCATGTGTTTTTTACTTCCCTCGTTCAGTGCTTTCCAAAAAATTCCCCTCTTATCTATTCTTTGAAGCGTTTAAGTTAGTAAGCTGAATGTTGGGGTGGTGAAAGTGAAACATAAACGTAAAAATAACAGTTGAAAATATCGAGATGACTGCTGGGAGTGCTAAATTTTAACATTTTTTTATGTAGAATGATCACATAATGCCTTATTTTGAAGCTCTTTTCACCGTTTTATAGCGCCAAGATATAAATTCACTATTTCTCAAAATGGCGGATTAACCTGAATCGCTTATAACTCGACAACAAATTTATATCAAAAAGTTATAAATAGTATGAATTATATCAATCTTCGTATTTTGGAGGCGTATGTGAATGTGCAATAAAATATTGGACATTCAGATTAATAAAGACGGATTTTGATAATTTTAATGGAATACACACTGATACTCCATGGTTCGCTCTATTGGAATGTTTTTAATATGTATTTACATTGTATCCCTTATCTTGTAGCATGTACCAGAATGTCACTTGTAATTCACTTTTTCTATTTTATCCACTGGATCTTTTTAAAAAATTAACAAGTTGAACACAAATAGTAAACATTTTAACCCACCATAATTTTTGCACAAAAACAAAATTTTGAAAAGGGCTCTGATAGCACCCTAGGAAATTATCTTCTGAAGACAATGCAAGAACTTAATTCGAAAATATTGAACACTGAAGCGTCAGCTGTGAAGCAGCTAAACCTCAGCGAATTCAAACTAGGAAAAAGGTCAGTCAGTCAAAGATTTGTTTGTCTCCTAATTCTCATAGTATGTAGTGAGGATCAAAGTTCATAGGAAATTCAGGTGTACTTGACATAAGCGATTTTTTTTACAGCCTCCGTACCGAGTCAATCTATATTCCGTTCCCATTATCACGTCAGTGAGAGTAATGTTCTTATCCAGGGTAATATGGATGTCCTTGCTTATATTAAGAGAAGCATCAGATACTGCAGAATACAAATTGAAAATTCGGCGACATGGGTACATTCATGGGTCATGAAATTAAAATGAAAATGTAGTTATTCGCCAAATTATGATTCTCAAAAACACATTTCCTAAACATATCGATGATTTTAAAGTTCCACTAAATTCCCCTATACGTTGCTGAAGTGATACCTATATGCAAGACCCTAATAATACCCGTTATAAATATCAGGTCGATTGTTTGAGGTTAACTGGTTCAGAATTCAGATTCAAGATTTTTCCCACCCATACATGCTAACAGACCAAATTGCTTATAGAAAGTTTGTTAAAAGTTCCTCTGTTAATGCAATTTATATTGAAATCCTACCTTAATTTAGGCCAGGAAAACATGATAACGATTTAAAGTAAATAAGGTTTTTCCGCCTATGGCAATAATCTAAATTTACAAACTGTCTAAGTACCATTTTCTTAGATAAATGACTGTGTTGCTTACAGTTTCCGATATACCGATTTTAGCGAAATTAAGTTAAAATTCAACTATACTTCGCTGAAGCGATACCTATTCCCAAGACCCTAATAATCCCCTTTATAAATATCCGAATTTATTCTTCCCTAGAAGTTGTAGATCTGTTGGCTCTCGGTGTCAAACCTACAACGCAGGTACCGCTTTTTTCAAATCGTGAGTGAGTAATCACTGGGATCAGAAGCTTCTTAATAATAGAATGTGTTTCACTGATATGAAAGATGCAACATTTAGAATCACCTTCCCCTAACCCCCATTTTTTAAGCACTGCAGTTTCTTTGTTACAATGTTTAGGAACCCTTGGAACGTCAAAAACGGAGTTTCTGCGATTGTTATTTTTTTAGTTTTTTGCCTATAGCGCTGCCGCCTCTGGACTGAAACTACAAAGCTTTGGCGTAGTAGTAACCTTGTGTGCAAAGGAATAGCAGATAGACAGACGGAAATGAGTGATGGTAGTTTTTCGTGATGTAGATGTCATATAAGACTTAAAAACTGTAACATCTCATTTTCGAATTTCTTTAAAACGGCTGTAAGATGGAGAAATTTTTAATTTGCCGAAACAATCAAAGCGTCAGGAAATCAGTATATTCACCATCTGAGGTTTCATTTATTGTCCAGTGTAAAACCGCGTACAGACCGAGATTACAAAGCAAGCCAAGGCACATGTGGTTACTGATTTGCAGGTGTTCGAATCGGTGTGTCTAGCGCGAGCCAACACAAACCAACGGTTTCTAAGGTAGCGTTGGCGTACGATTGCTTTCGCTTCTTGATCGGCACATCAAAGCGAGGTTTGATTTGGTCTGGATAGGATTTGTTGCGCTTCTAGTATTTAGTCGTTTGTCTGCATTCGATGAGAGGAGACTCGTCGCTCGACATTAACTCCGAACGCGGTCCAACTCGAAACTAAATTTAGGTGTAGACGAGCGCATTCCAATACCTTCCAACAACAAACGCCAACGTCACTTGTGCTTGCGTTCGTTTGCTCGGCGTTGGATTTTCGATCTGTACGCGGCTTAAGACAAATAGATCAGAGAGACAAATGGAGGATAAGTTCAGAAGTTGCATTTACGTAACTAGTTACGCATCAGCGATCGCGATTATAAACACCTCTTTGCAGAAGGACTTATATACATGACATGATGTGAACTAGGGCCATCAAATTATCTGAATACGTCCTTTCTTAGGCCGTACATTCCGCCACGTCGCTTGAGATGGCTGCACGAAATAAGAGACATAATTCGTGAATAATCCGATTTGTAGAGGTTTGCGCGCTTCAACATTGACGCCTTATTTTCGAATGAAACCTTTACAGTGTATCGAAAACAAAAACCTAAAGGGTGCTATCGAGCCATTTTCTCATCTTTTTCACTAGGCTCTTTTTAAAAAAACCGCGAAAATAAAAAAAAAATAAGCACTTCAACCCACCATAAATCATGTGCAAAAACAAAATTTCAAAAAGTGCTCTGGACAATTGTCTTCTGAATATACTGTCTGAATTTCATTCAAAAATACTGAAAATGGCTTGAAACTCACTGCGTCGGAGCCGCCTTAATTATAATGAGTGCAAACGACGTGAGTATAGGGAACCCGCACTACTTGCCTCTCCCAAGGCGTGATCCTGGATACGCGTCTGATGAAGAAAGTACTTGTTGCTTTTTTTCAAAAAACCAAGCTTATTTTATTTTTATGACTGGCCTCAAAAGTTGTGCTACATGTGTACATATAAAATAATTTTTCGGTAGTTCAGGCAGTATGTCAAGTTGTGCGCGCTACCCCTAGATTCGACGCTGTAAAATGATTCGCTAACGGTAGCATGTTAATTTGTTTTATTGGCGTTCGCGCTTAATTTGCGGGCTTGCATAATTCTATCGGGCCGGGTTGCAATATTTTCGGTTATTTCTACTAGAAAAATATCGAGAATTGCTGATATAACTAATACTATCGTTCGGTCGTGGTCGTGGGAATGTCTGATGTGTATAGAGTCAGATAATTCGGTCAAATACAAATCGTTACTATCGTTAGCAAAATTTCCGTATATTTCGGGATACCGGTACAGTCTAGTATTTATTCCTGCTTGGTAAGTTTATATAAGTACTTATAGTTCCCTTCTTCGTGAATATATAGCACATGTTGGAATTTGTATAATTCCTGTCAATTTTGGAAAATGCAGTGGCATCATCTAGTAGGGGAAAGTCGCCTATATCGTACTGGCTCCTTAATAGTACCTTGTCGATATTTCAGATATTACACTTATGTGTAAAACATCTTTCACCACAATTAGAAACCCTAAAGTTGGCAACCAGTAATACCAGCAAAAGTTTGACAGTAGCGCGTATCGCTCCCGACATGTTTAACGTTTCATTTTGTGCGGCAAAGTGATTTAAAGTCTGGTTGACCTACCGTAAGTAGTTTTGGATATTTTAGTTGACTAAACCTAATATCTACTGTATGCCTTTAAGATTAACAACTTTTATACACTTTTTGATAACTTTAAACATAACCTTATTTCTATAATTTCCAGAAAAACTTTATCTTTATTTATTTGGTGCAAAGTTGCCTTGATCGTACCATTAGAGATTGCCTAAATCGTACCGGTACGATTAAGGCAATTTATACTGGTACGATTACGGAAGCTATGTAGTAACAGTTTTTTTTACTTTTTTATTTTTTTTTATAGATAATGGGAGAGCCAAATGAAATGAGAAAGTACGGACAGTGGTCTGAAGCGGACATGAAAGCAGCCATAAATGTTTTTTCGTGAGGGAAACATAGGTTTTAATGAGGTTTGTCCCCATTACAATATCCCAAAGCCAATATTTAGGAGGCATTTAAAGTCCTATAATGTTAGAGCCAATGAATCAAAAAAAATAATAGGTCGATCCTGTTCTTTTTCTGAGGAGATGGAGGACGACTTGGAAAAGCATATTTTAACACTAGAGTCAATTTTTTTGGAGTGACTATTCGAGAACTAAGTAAGGCTGCCTTTGAATTCGCTGAACGCAATGGTCTTAAACATAATTTTAATAAAACCACAAGGATGGCTGGAAAAAAATGGTTTTATAGCTTTATGAGTCGCCATCCACAACTTTCCTTGAGACAACCAGAATCAACTTCGATCGCCCGATGTAAAGGTTTCAACAGAAGCAAGGTTCAGGAGTTTTTCAATATTTTAGAAAAACTTGTTGATGATCATGCTTTCACTGCTGTCAGAAAGTGCTGGCTAAAAAAGAAAAATCGTAGGTTGGTGTCATAGCTAGCGGCGAAAGAGGGTGAATACTACATTCGTATGCTGCGCAAGTGCTGCAGGTCAATACGTGGCACCAATGGTAATTTTCAAGAGGAAAAGGATGGCGCCAGAGCTGGCAGATGGAGCTCCCCCAGGATCACTGGTCGAAATATCGGATACACTAACGCCGATTTGTTTGTTACTTGGTTAAAACATTTCATTGCTGCAGTTAAACCTTCAAAAGAGGATAGAGTGCTTTTGGTTATAGATGGCCCGCGAGAATGGGGTTATTATTTTACAGCTGCCAGGTCATACCACCCACCGTTTACAACCACTTGATGTGGCAGTATTTAAGCCCTTCCAGGTCTATTATGACCAATCGGTTGAAAAATGGTTGAGAGAACATCCCGGGAGGACAATCGGTCAATTTCAGGTGGCCCGATTAATCGGAGAAGGATATGGAAAAGGAGCATGTGTCGCAAATGCCATAAGTGGATTTAAAAAATGTGGTATATGGCCTGTGGATAGAAACGTTTTCACAGATGTTGATTTTGAAGGCGGAGATGTTCTTCAAACTGAACCAAAACAAAAAGCACTAGCGGAAAGCAAGGGCGCTGACGATACACCTTCGAGTAATGATGATGTGCCCTTGGCGCTTTTAGTTGAAAAACAGAAATCGTGCGCCACCTCTGAATCTCAAGCACCCGATGTTTCTTTCGAAGACATTCTACCAATTGCAAATAGTCCTGGCAATCAGAAAAATGCAAGTAAACGTGCACAAGCAGCAAAAGTTATAACTTCAACCCCACATAACGACGAATTAAAACTAAAGCAATCTACTATCGAAGAAAAGAAAAAGAGACTGGCAAAAAGAAAAATAGGAATAGCCAATGGCCAACCGGAAAAAAAAGTAAAAATGCTTCGTATGGTTCAAATGACGTAGTGGTAGAAATAGTAGAGGATCAGTGGCTTTGTGTTATATGTAATGAGTGTCGAGTAGAAAATATGATACAGTGTCCTTGTGCAAGCTTTGGGTCCATGAACTTTGTGCGAGTTATGAAGCAAGTTCTTCGTACTTTTGTGACAGTTGTTCCTAAATAACACAACTAGTTATTATTGTTTGTCCTGTTTCGTTTTTTAAATATTAAAATATTAAAATTTGTATTCCTGTTTAAATACTACTGTTATGCTACCATACTTAAGTGGTACGATATAGCAGATCAGTACGATTTAGGAAACCTAGTGGTACGATTTTGGCATCTGGTTTCCCAAGTCGTACCATTTGCAATGTTTATAAAAAATGTATTTTTCTCTTAAATTAGATAAGGAGCCATAACAAAAGAAAGTAGAAATATGTAAAAATCATTTAGTTAAATATTTAAAATAAAAGGAGCCCCTTAATATTGAAAATGTTAGCTTACTATACATTTTTCCGAAAAATGGTACGATTTAGGCGACTTCCCCCTATGATCGGTCCTGGTGAAATAGGTATCACCCAGGAAAGAGGCCTTCTAGTATTTTCAAGGATACCTGAAAACAAGACCGGCTCAAGGACAATGCGACATATGCCCGCGAACGTGTTGCAGCATCTACTAAGAATATAGCATACCCAATGAAAATATGTTCTAAGAATATGGTGTTCTAGATCTACACACGTTCTAAGAATATTCTCATTAGGTGATTTGGAAAAGTCTTCCCAGGGAGCACATGTACATCCAATGGTTGTTTATTAAATATCCACGGTAGATATCCAGGATATTCACTGGGTGGACAGATATCTGATGGACATCCATATGTTCGCCTGTATCCAAGAATCTGGATATTACAATACCTACTGATGTTATGTATTTAAGATACCCAACGGATATCCACTGAATGTTTGGGGAGCATCCAGTGGTTTGTCAAATCTAATGACTGCTTCAGGTATACCTAGATGATCACACTGTAAGCACGCAAATTCAAAACGTAGAAGGATAATTGAAAACCTAACGCAGCAAATGAAACATGTAGATATTTATAATAAAATGTGTATATCACATGTATGTAAAGTCAAGGTCACCTTCTATCGTATTCTATTCTTCTTTTCCTTGTTCTAACCGTATACTTTTTTCTTACGTCTCTCCATCAGGAGCAGCTGCAGATGCTAATTACTTCTGACTACAAATTAAACTTCCAATTAGGCGAATAATTTAGAGGTTCTGATTTTGTAAATACCTTACTCAATTGACAAAATAATGTTAATCATTAGCCAGATAAATTAAGGTGAATAACTATCTCGAAACTTACCTTTTCCACAAAAATCATTGCCAAATAAAGTACCATTTGAAGACACACGATGCACGCTATGTTGGATACGCACAGCCATGGAATAAAACAAAATGGAAGCTGGTAAGCCTCACCTTGCCCTCATGCCATTGGTCGCTCGCACACACTCACATGCGCGATAGGCCGAAAAATTCACCCGACGCAATATGTTTGAGACGTGCCAGAAGTATCCCTTTTTATTAGCTGACGAAATGTTACTGTCACGTGACTATAAGATCTTGTAACGGCCTGTCCTATTCTTAGCATGTGAGCAAATGGTTATTCCTTATGTGAATATGATATGAACATTTCCGTCCCGAATATTTTTAAATTGCACACTCTTAGAACGTTCGTCAGAAAAATACGCTTTGGAGGGGTGTGTTTTACAGGAAAATCGGTCTTTAAATGAAAACCATCTTGTCTGTCGAAATAGTTTTTAGCTATGATCTTATAATTACACATACCTACTTGGTTAGCTATATTGAGCTGTAAGTAGATGAGAGACTCGCAGAATTAGAAGGGATGACGCGACATTCTAAATAATGTGGGAAGGATACCTATAAATATCTTGTTAATCTTGACATGCCACAAATAATAATTATAGTCAGGAATAAACCGCCCAAAGAACTTACAAATTAATGTTCCTTAATTGATAGAGTGTAATAGGCAATATACACAGATCAGTTATATAACTGCAAACAGTGATTCGTGTGTATATTGGTTTTTGTATGCATAGATAGTGGAACATTAGAACCAGAAACGATTCCCGCCATCCAGAAATGTTTACAGGGGAGCTGAAACTGAGCTTCAAAACAAGATATGTATATACTTACAACGGGACCTCCCTTATCACTGGCGTCCTTGAATTTTGTTTTTCTTTCTTCCTGAAATAGTGCACAGAAAATCTTATTGAATGATGCTTTGTTGTACGGGTAGTTACACATTGCTCTGTCCTGAGGGAATGCGTCTTTATACTCAATCGAGTTATGGATGCTGCAGTATCTACAATAAACAGAGACATCAAGTTAGTTCCAACACCCATGATACGAAATAAGAAATGTTGAGATCTTTACGTATACCAAGTTGCATTTTGATAGCTCAAACAGTCTGCTCACATCCATTTTTTAAGAACGATGTACTTCATTATCTTTCTTTTTCGCTCGTGAGTTGAAAATAAAACGCCTTTGGAATTAATACACTGAAAGAGACCTTAAAAATTTGATTCTTCTGTATTTTTAGCTAAGTGAATCGTGACGTTGAATACGATTTTTTTCTGGAGACAAGGGGTTAAGGGTCAAGGGATTGGGGTGGCCATGAGATAGATGTCGAAAACTAATATCTGGAGACTATTCCATCCTCGAGGCAGTGATACAACTTCCAATACTGTCCGGGAGGGACGAGGGGATAATCAGATAATGAAACCTCTGGCCATCCCTCCGTAAACGTGCAATCATTTGCACATTTCACGCAGTGGCCCTGTCACGTCCTGGTGGATCTAGGCTAGAGACCCGAATAACTCTCTGGTGACGGGCAACAGCATTACTAGTATCAGTGCCAGTTCTCGGGAATCACTTCTTGGGAAATCGTACTGAACATCCGAACCGCACTGAGGAACTCTACAAACTAAGATGTTATGCGATCCATGCTGAAGGCTGAATGACACCGGAGGAAAACGGTGTCTAGAACGGAGCCTTCTGGGAACGGGTCACTGAGAGGATGGACTGTAGTAAATCGGTACTCGTGGGAACAATATGGATAAGGAAAATAAGCAAGACGAAAAAGAATATACTTCGGAGGGAACTCCTGAGGAAGATACTGTCGTGGAAGTTAATTCAGGACTGGACATTGATGGATCTGGTGCGCCCATTTCTGCAGGCATCAGTGGGATGGGACTCCAGAAAGCTTTCAGGAGCCCAAAGGAGGAAGATCATCAAAGCTAGGAAAATGGCAGAGAGGACTTGGATGGACCAAGATCCGTACAAACAGCACCCTCGCCACAAAAATAAAAAGAAAGCCAAGAGTAGCAAGGTACCCCTGGGCAAACTTCCTAGGGCACAGACAAACCTAACGTAACCTAAGCCAGAGGGGAAGAGTCAGACAAGGTGTAAAAGACCCCGAGAAGACTAAAAGACTCCTCAAAAAATCACTAAAAGTCCAAGGCAGGACAAAGGGTCTGCGATGTCCTTTAGTGAGGCAGCTTCGAACCGGTTGGCGGTAATTGACAGACGTCATCCCATCATCCGGACACAACTCTTGACCCGAGGCAAGCGGATCTGGTCATAAGAATGTTGGGAAAGACACGGAGACACGGTTAATTCTATTTTTTATTTTTATCAATTGAAATACCATGTAGCTCTTAAGGTATCGATCATATAGTAAAAATGTATGCCATAGACCTCTCTGCCCCTCCCCTACTACTGACTCGCCCTACACAGTTGGAAACAGTTGGTATGTTCATCTTAACATCTTCAAGAATGGCTATTCCAAAACTACACGAATCATTTGGGCTGATCGACCACTTTCGTGCCAATTTTCTTAGAATATGCATGATTTTGTCACATTATTTTTGTGCCCTACATGAGTCCGAGATATTGACCATATATTCTGGGACAACCTGTATACCTGGTCATGTGAAGGGGCTGGTTCCTGAACTTCATCTCAACATCCTCCACTTTCGTGGGCAAGACGATCCTAGTCTGATTCTCGTAGATCTCGATGGCCCTGTCCAACCTCAAAATAGCCAGATCGTTATACGTGCTCAGAGGTACACCGAATTCTTGGTGGATGAACGCCCTTTCGATACGAGCGAACCTTTTGCCAGTGTACATGATTGTGCCGTTTGGTAGTTTTGTTTCCTTATGAACCGTTATATCGGTCAGTTTGCCTCGCTTCAGGCAGGTGGCAATTGTTAACACCCAGTATTCATTTAGCAATGTTCCTGAAAAGTATATTAAACATTACACACATATTATTACGAAGACATCATTGTCAAAGGACCCCACAAAATCTTTACGAGAAATTAGTCCAGGAAGAATCTTCGCAATAAAATATATGAAAACCTCGCTATTAATAAGTCAACTATCTGTATTTTTATTGATCTAGCCAAAACATTCGATACAATAATTAGTCTTTTTTAACCTCTCTAGAAAATTTAGGATTCCGATTGACAATGTATAATCAAATGGAAGGTAGCTGTCAAATAAAAAACAATGTGTTGAAGTAAGTTCAAATTTCGAACAAAAACGATCCAATCAGTTGACAAAATTGAATATTTAGGTAACATTAGACAAACATTTTAAATGGAATGCTGCTACGGAAAATTTGGTGAAACGATCAAGGTATCAGTCGAACACTTCGTGGCTTTTTCGCAGCTTTGACGTCTTAACCGAATGCAACCGATGTACTAGGTTTGGCCATGAATGTATAGGTTAGAGCTAAGACAAACCAACTGCCAGTGGCTACACCTAGTTCTAACCGGTTAGAGCTAGTTGTCTCAGTATTTCGAATGATACCCCAACAGTTTCAAGTTTCATGGTCTCCCATGGTACAGGTGGGGTGAGCAAAGCTTTGATCTAACTTATTATTTAAGGTGTTAACTTTACAGTAGGACACAATTTTCATTAATTTCCGATACCTTGTTTTTTCCATTTTTGCCAGGTTTTTTGAGTAAATAAGACCACTGTGCGTCATCAGAATTGTAGATTTGTCCATACTACCTGCTTAATACGTATTGACTTATAACTCTTGATACAACTTCATTATTTACAAAATTGCAAATACATATACTTTTAAAACCAATAATTCGGGAATGCCTTGATAAGAAATGTTCTTAGGTACAAACCTGAACAGAAGACAGTGTTGAAATTGGTAAGGGATAGCAAAACCGTGTATGCCTGTTGTGGAGAACCATTGGCACTTATGGATGTATCTATTACTTCTTCCTTGTGTTTATGAGGCTGTCTACCGTAGCATACAGCAAATATGCAAAATAGTTTCAACATTACCAGGAACATTGATCCTTTCTTCTGCCATTGTCAAAAAGTCCAAGATGTTTAAGGATTTACCAAAATCCAAAAGATTTGTTATATTACGTCATAATGACATCGTTATTAGAGTAGAGACTTTACTACAACGAGCTCGAAGCACCCTATATTTTTGCGTCATTATTTGCTAACTTGAAACAGTCAAATTAAGGGAAAATTTCCTAAGGATTTATTTGGTTAACAAACTTAAACAAATCCAGAAAGAAAAAATCAAGTTAATTTTTTAAATACCACAGTGGCCACTTTTTAATAGGTGACATGTTTTTCCTTACTTTGGGGCCCTTACTGAGCTGATTATGAAAGCAATCAACAAAAAATAAGAATTCAATTCAAGATCATACTGAATTTCATTAGGAGGATAAGTTTAAAAACTTAGCATGTACGGCGGCGCAAAAGAACCTAGAACCGGAATACCACTGCTTCTTTCTTAAACTGGTAATATAGCTTTTATTTGTCCGACAACGAACGAAAACTGAACAACTATCCTAAATTCAGAGTGTCAGGTCTATTGAAACTGCGAAAACGGCCGATTCTGGTAACAGATGTCGCTTTGTGCTGATTTATTTCGATACATATTTCTTGTTAATTCGTTCTAAATATGACAAAGTCATCGAAATTTGTGTTATACAAACCTGCACATTATACATGCTTAAAATTATAAAGAACTGATTTTATTACTGACGGTAATAAGCATGAATTATTAGGTATACTGGTAATAAAAGTAGCTAATAATGTGACTGCATTGACACTTCTTGTAATTTGCGACATTTTTTTAGGCCGATCGCAAACCAACGGCTCAAGCGGAATAGCAGTCATTTTCTGTTGTCTACACATATTCCTTTGGCGCACAGAATTGATAATAGAATTCATGCACATAAAACTCTAAATTCGTCACACAAATAATAATAATCATATTAATTTATAGTCGCTATTACACATAACTATGTTTGCATAACTCAGCTAAAGTAGAACATCAAATGAGTATAAGTAAAAGCAATAAACAGTAAATAAGACAAACATGATACACAAAGTGGCAATAAAAGGTAAAATAATTAATGAAACCAAAGTTACATAATAGATGAACAATAAATAGAGTAGGTTAAACAACTATAAAAGTGACTAATTACAATAAAAATTATGTTTGATTGTATTCTATTTGGTAATAGGTTGTAGAATTTTAACCCGTGGTAGTTAACATGTTGGAAAGGTGATGATGATTTGTACACGGATCGCTGGCTTAGAGTTACAATATAAGCTTTTCGAGAAAAAAGAGTTTAAAGTGCAAGTTCTTTTATAGTAAGTTTATGAATAATTAATAATCGAAATACCTGCTGGATAGAAAATAGTTAGCAAGAAGGCTGCTATTGGCTTAATGAATATTTATTGGGAGAAGATTGTTGCAAAAAAGAACATAGAACTTTGTATATATACATTTTAAGCAACATGGAATTTTCTAATCTAGAAATGTATCAATTTCCTAAGAAACATAGTACTTTGATTTAACTAAAGCTTTATTACACTTTTAAATATAATGAAAAATGTAATATCAAAAATAATACCAAGTCATAACATACATATAATAATATAGGTTTGAATTTTATATTTTATTTTTTTTTGGTTTTCGGTTTAAGTTGGAGAATATTAGCTTGATAAAATTGTTGGTCAATCAGTGGTATCCATTTAAAGATAAGTCTTAAGGCTTCTATTTTACTGAGTGGAAGCTCCGGTAAAGTACTGGGTCTTGCTTCGTTGTCCAAGATGCTTTTCATGGTACTCTCATCTTTTATTTTACAGTTCGTAAGAAGGTCACTAGAATATTAAAGAATAAAATATTCAGATCATCAAGTTGTATGGAGAAGACTGTAACTTATAAGATATAATATTGCTGCATGGTTTTATGAAATAATGTCCTATATTTTCATAGTAGAAAAACATAGAACTCTGGAACCCGAAACAATACGAAGCATACTTGTCATAGAAGTGTGATAGCATTTATTTACAAAACTACCAAATTGTCACATAGAACCTTATAACTATAAGCCAGCGAAATGTTCTTTGTTTCTGGTGTTGTAGTTGAAAGTATCTTGATGAGTTGCATAATTGTGAGAGTGAGTTCAAATATTCATGAGGCAAGCATAGATTTATACACAAGGCAGTGTCATGAAATTCAGTTTGATAAATTCATTCCTGCAAGGATCCCTGAGCCTCAAATTTGAAACGTACCCGACACATCTTCTCGGTAGGTCAAAACCTCTGGGCATGTGTGAATGGCGTAAGTCATTCTACAGTGGAAGTATGCATGATTACTGGAGTACTTAGTGTTTTCTGGGACACTGAATTTCTCAGATTACGTATCAGTAAAACAGATGTCTCAAAATAGTTATTACATATTAAGAGCGCAAAGCACTTTGCCGCTCGATGATTACGTTTGAGTCGATGCGAAGCTCAGGAATTTTCTAAAAACGCCAACATTTTTCTTCACCTCTTATGCCTTGATGCGACTAACTGGTGTCTGGTCTACTTTGGGACAACCAGATTAGGTAAATAAACTGAAAGAACCTAAGCTCAGAAAGGTTAAGGCTTTTTGATATAGAATAAAGCACCCTCACTTCATTGGGAAGCAAAACAAGGGTATGCTTGGCAGAATTCTCTGTTCTATTCCACACACAGAGAAAAAGCCGTTTGCTCCATAATAAACAAGAGGATAACGTTTGTACCACTGAACATATTGATTTCGTCCGTCCGACCACAGACGGCCAAACTTGTACAGCTGTTTCGTGCTTTTTGGTAACGCATCAGCATGGTCTATTCCTGCTCTTAGGCGCGACAACGAATGAAAGCCCAGCAACTATCCTCTATCTGAGATGTAGCTTTATCGAAATAAGACAGCACAAAGTGCCATCTATTACCAGAATCAATCACTGCGATATCAGTTGGAACTCTCGGTTCACATTTGATTGCTGGGTCACCACTGTGGTCACTAGATGCTATCGACTCTGGTGGTTGAAGCGGCTCGGCAATTGCGCGACCGTGTGTGAGTGGTGATTGCGTGTCAGAGTGCAAAGTGCGACGGAAGGCATGTAGTAAGACCTTGAGGATAAAGTGAGAATAAAGTGATATCGTCGTAACACCGTCTTCCTACCCATTAACCTGAGAGAACTAGCTTGGGAACTATATAGTGTTTTATAAATCTAAGTTAAACATAAGCTGTATGGATTCTGATCATTAGTAAATATTCTACCAAGCTAGTAAAACGGAAAGAATCAAATAACTGTATGATACAAACTTGCCTAGTAGACACTTTTGAAGTTATACATTTTTTAGTTGACCTAATGAAACTTTTAATTGGTCTAATTATGTTTTTCTTAGTAAGGAAAAAAATGTTTGAATCAAAATGTAGAGTTAGTCTGTCTACAAACTAACAAACACCCAATACTCGGTAACCTCGCATTTCTTTCAAAAGGGTTCAAAAAAAGTTTCTGGATATCAAAAAAGCTATTTGTCGATGACCTCAAATATGACGTGCGAAAAATAAAGGTGACACGCTACCTATGCGTAGTTACGCTAATATGGTACTACCGATTGCTACGTAAGACAGCAGAAAATAGATAGACAGAATAGTTTTCCTGCACGTTTTAGCAACAGTCTTCTCATCTAAGAAGGGGGGTACTAAGTACTCATCATGCTACCAGCATTGGCGTTCTATACAAAAGTTGCATAAACTGAAGACAGGCTGAAAAATAATTTTACCATCTTTGCGACCATAGCCAACCGAATAGGTACACAGCTTACACAGTTTTTTACCGTCTTTTAGCAATCATCAGTACATTACAGATCATTTGGAGACAGATGACGGAAACAAAATAAGAGAATGGTAGGTCTATTAAAAAACTCAATATTGTGAAGTGCGAAAAATACACGCTACCTATAAGTAATAGCTTGGTTATGGTCACAAAGACGGAATACATATTATTTTTCAGTCTATAGATAATGACCTCACATCACATCAGAGTACATCATACATGAAAAGTGGCCATGAGTGGTCCAATCAGTATAACCTAATGTAACGTCTGAAAAGTACACGAACACAGCAAAAACTTGGTTACCACGCAGTTCTGAAAAAAAGACCTAATAAAGCTCTCAGGATATCGAAGAAGCATCTATCTTTTACTTCAAATTTGACCTAGAGTCAGAGTTCATGACAGCAGATTGGTGTAGAGTACGAAATTCTGCATCAGAGTTCGTACATTTTCAGACATGAGGTCAAGTGCTCCCCTCAATATGACCGACAGTAACGTTTAAAAAGTATACGAACACCGAGAAAACTTGGCAACCACTCATTTTTGAAAAAATAAATATCATCACGGAGGTCTCAGAATATCAAAGCAACTTACATTTCACTTTAAATATGACCTAGATAATGCTCTCGATAGTCATCTGAAGGTCCAGTTTGGAGATTCAAATAGCAACATTTTTGACAGCAGTAAAAATGCACTCCGATGTAGATTTAGATTATCTTGAGCTCTACACGAATCAAAAATTATTTGCTATTTGAATTTAAAAACTTGCCCTAAAATGACCTCATCTACGCTATGTTCAAGTTTAAATATAAATTATAGCTTTTTGATATCAACGTTTCTTTTTTGTTTATTTTTTTTGTTAGGGGTGTTGGAACACTTTTAAAACATTACGGTAGCCGAAACCTGTAACAGCAACGACTTAAGGAAAAAATGAGACTTTATGCTTCTGAATTCTTTATTTCGTTACATTTTAAGTAAATGCAGTAATTATGGAAAGAATTACCTTTTAAACTGATTAATTTTTGGACGAAACAAGACATAATAAATATGATTTAGAATAGAATAGTCTTTTTTAAATATACACATACACAATTTTAAACTAAGTATAATATGAATGTACAAATTAACAAATAACAAAAAATATAAATACGTAAGTTTGTACATACTGTTAAAAACGATAAAAGCATTGTGTGCAAATACTGTGAAAAGTAAAGTACATAATGCACCATAATTTTTGAGGATGAGTATTAAAAAATTAAAACTACTTTTTTCCAGAGATGTAAT